CATCCCCGAGGCTTTTTGGACAAAGACTGTTGGGGCTCATCAGCTCTGTCTAACCTTGCTCCAAGGTGAACCCCATATCCAGAGTCAAAGCTCTGTGGTGGCTCCCATCAGTACTTACTGGCCAGCTGCAAGGCCGGTCTCATTAGTATTACAATGCACCGTCTGCAAACCACTTAGTATCAGTCTAACTCTCCACTGGGTCCATATACTGTACAATAGAAAGCCCACAATGGTGTCTGTGAGCAGAGATAAGAAAACTGCTGCAGAGCCCTGACTGAAGATTTTTTATTGTATTTTTTATTTTAACATAAAATCCCAAATATAAAATTTTGACACACCATACAGTATCTCAGCTCAAGACACTGAGTTCTATGGTTGAAAGCGACACATAGGGTGACACATTTTCAAATATTATTTGCTTCTAAACTCTATCTTAAAGTATAAATAGACAAGATTTGCTGGTTACAACTTCTAAAGTAATAAGCTAACACAGATCTTTTTCACAGCAGCCATGCTGACATTAAATAGTAGGGTAATCACAGGTGTTACCAGTGATACTAATTACAGTTCTGTTCCACTTAGTGTATCAGAGCCTTTTCTAGTGAGACAACATACATAATAGCAGCACACTGACTCTGTTTGACCTGAATGGAACTGAGCCTTCATTAGTATCACTGTAACACCTGTGTTTACCCTACTATTACATGCCAAAACGGCTGCTGTGAAGAAGGTCTATTGCTGCTGGTAAGATTTGTTTTAACATTTTAAAGACTAAAAGTCAGGGATAGATTAAGCTAAAGTTGAAGCCCTCCTTATTTTGAGGGAAGAGATTAATCTTAGTTTATAGTAGCACTTCTTGTTTGATACCAAACAGCGTGATCGTCTTCATTTTTGCTCTGTTTTACACCCGAAAGAGGTCACAAGAAAGAAATTTAACTTCACGTCATTGTATCTTTTAGTCGTATCACTAACTGACTTTTTAAAGCTGAAATTTTGAACTTGTTAGCAACTAATTATGTATTAACACATCAGAGACACGGAGCAACATTAACGTTTCATTAGAGTCATATTTCTAGAAACCTGACAAAGATACATTCACCATTCACTCTACTTTTAGCTCTGTTTTTGGAAAGATCTGGCTCTTTAGCAGCTAAATGCTCCACTACGTTCACCAGTTAGTTGCTAACATTGAAAACAACTTCCCACTGCTAGAGACAAGGTTGATGTGAACAGTGGAAGTAAAAGAGTGACATTGTGGGTCGTAAAACCAAAAACAAGAAGCTGAAACACTGAAACAACTATTATCTTTTAATTATTTGAGGTATCGCTAATATAAAAATATTGATTAAAGCAGCTTTAAGTCTAGCCAAGAGCACTAGACTTTTTACTGGATCCAACAAAACCACTGACACTTTGAAGTTTTTAAAAAAGCATCACGAAGATGCAAGCAAGTAATGTTTTAAACACTTTTTTATGTACAATTCACACAAAAGATTAACATTACATTAGGATTAACTTTCTCCCTCACATCTATATTCACACTCTTTTAATGTTTGCAGCACTCAGACTTCTCCAAAGTAAACAACAGAACACATCTTTCAGAGGGCCGATCATGAGACGCTGACCACAGAGGGTAGCCCAAGGTCAGACCTGTGTCATATCCCCTGACCGGCCAGCTGCTGACAGACAGTGTTCATAGCGAAAGGTAACGAGAGAGGACAGGTAGAGGTGTGAAATATTATCTAATGGACTTGAAAGGAGGAGGCAGTGAGGGGGGGGGGGTGTCACAGGGTGGGGTAAGAGTGACAGACACATGACCTCCAAAGAGAGGACAAACAGGTGAATCAAATGAGGGTTAAAGGTTTTAGAAATCAGCTGTCTTCTTGTACTTGTGTGAATATATAATGAATAATTGAATATATGTTAATAATGTAAATTTATTTATGAATTAATGTTATCTCCCAGCTAGTGTTTGTTTTATTTTTAGGTTATAGGGTTGGGTAATGCTGTTGGAAAAGAGGAGGCATGCTGTACAGACTGGGGATATATAATATACAGTATATGTTGATATGTGGCTATACTATATCGAAAATAATAAAGTTTGATCACAAAAAAACAGCTGATGTAAGACAAAATTTCTAAAACATTAACATTTTAAATGGAAACCGTGTCTGTTTGGCACAAATAAAAGGATGTGAAAGGATAAATATAGTGAATATCTGAATAACAATATCCTCAAATCATTCATGCTTACATAAAAGTATAAACTGGCACTTTTTCTAAAATCTATCAATTTAAATTCCTCCTTTATCTTTTGATTTTTAATAGAATTCCTTAGTTAGAGATCATCTCATTTTGTTTGGAGGAACTCATTCCTCACAGGATGAATGAACCTACTCCTTCACATGAGCAACGCATGAATAACACCCATTTATTAAACTACTCTTTAGACTATGTAGAAACTAAGAGAGGGGAATAAAACACGTGTGCTCGGCTCTGGTAGTTTGGGTGGAAGGGTGCAAAACAAGTTACGGGTGCAGACTAAACTCACCTGCACTCCGGCTGTGTCATTTTTGACCCGAGTGTCCAGGCGGCTGTGGAGCAGCTCCTCCCGGGAGTGGATCTGTTGCAGGAGCCGCTTGGGCTGAACCACCTCTTCTGCAGGCGGCAGCCTTCCCTCCACATTCGCCCATCCCCTCAGACCTGCCGAGGACACAAGAGGAGGCTCAGTGCACAGGCAGGATGAGATCCCAGAGAGAGAAGAAGCTGTATGGAGCTCTAAATGCAAGGTTGTTAACGCTGAATGTCTTATTTCTGCAGCCCTCTTATGGGATTAAACAGCTGGTGTCGAGCTGCTTGTTGACACCGATGCAACAATTACATGGTGCTTGTTGTTAGAGGTTCAGTGGAAACAGTACTGGACTAAAAACCATCCGCTTCTTCTAATCACTAAACATAACCTGCCTCTAAAACACTAAACGACAAGGTAAAAGGAAAGCTTACCTGTCACGGAGCACCGTGCACACACTGCAGCGAACAGCAGGCATCTCACAGCGAGCATGATGCTCACATAGTCCTAGTGATTTCCCCGTTACAGCGCCGTTAAATGAGCTGAAAAGAGGCGTGAGCGGATCTGCAGCGGAACTGTTGTTGACAGTGAAGACGAACACAACAGCGGGGGTTCCTTTAAACGCGGCGCCCACATCTCTCACCTCCCTCTCCGCCTCTGGTGAGTTAAAAGCCCCCCGACGAGGCTCCTCCGCTCGGCTCCAGCAGCATGGTGTCCGTCGGTGTCGCCGAGCTCCACGGCACGATCTCTCTCTCTCTTTCTCTCTCACATACACACCCTCTCTCTCCCTCTCTCTCTCTCTCTCTCTCTCTCTCTCTCCCTCTCTCTCTCTCACATACACACACTCTCTCTCTCCCTCTCTCTCTCTCTCTCCCTCTCTCTCTCTCACATACACACACTCTCTCCCTCTCTCTCTCTCTCACATACACACACTCTCTCTCTCTCTCTCTCTCTCTCTCGGCCCTGACGTTACCGGTGGACCTGGAAACAGGCAGCACGTGGGGCTTTACGGGGCTGACCCACGCGCTTTGATGAGACCTGAGGGGCACCAAAACTCGGGTCCGGGGTCCCAATAGTTAAACACCTGATGGTACATCCAGTAAAAGACTATAAAGTATAATATTGATAATAAAAGATTGTATTTGTTTCAGCATTAGGATGCATTTTAATTATTAAAAGATGAATTAGTTTCTTATTTGTAACAGGTTTAAAAGTGGTTTTATTTTTAATAATAATTGGCTTTTTGGCATATTTTGTTGTCTGTTCATTAGTAATGAATCATAAGTAAATCTGATAAAAAAATATGTGCAGTTCAACTAAAAATCAATGATCTGGATCCCAAAAAAGGAGTCCCAGGATAAAATTTGAGGGTTACAATGTAAGAAAATGTATATTTCTATTACACTATAGGCTGCTAACCCCAAAACTAACCCTGTGTTTGCCTGTCTAATTGTGTCAGTCAACCTCAATCAAACCAGTCCTGAAGTAGATTAATTGAGCTTTTTTTTGTTAAACTCTTCAAATAATACCTATGGATGTTGTTTTTCCGAACATGAAATTCAACTATTACTTGTTTAGTCATGACGATTTAACTTTGTTTGATGTTTTTTTGATGCCTTTGGTCCCCTGAAGTTCACATTATTTTGCTAATCCCTTATTAGAAATCACACAGGATGTAAAACCTCTGGTTATTTGCAATTCTGGCTGAATGTCTGATATTTTAAATATAAAATACTTTTCTTCTAATTAGTACACTTTTATATTTGGACTCAACCTTAATTCTTGACCATGGAAACAGCAGCTGAATTGAGTTTGTTACATAATCTAACATTAAAATATAACTTTAATGATCAAACATGACTACTATCCATCAACCTTGCACACAGAATCTTGTGAACTGGGAGTGCCAAGTACTTTGACCAGAACATTTTGGATTTCTCACTTGAACCTCAGCTTCCTGTTGGAAATTACACCCACACAAGACACAATTCCCACATTCCTACATTCCTTTCCCCTTTCCAAAAAGTCCATACAGGTCACAACAACCGAAAAGATATCCAAGTTCAAAGATAAGACTGTTTTCCCCTTCTTAGTCGACAAGCTGCTGTGGTTTTAGCCAGGGCACCCATACAAAGGATGTCTTCATCCCAACATATCTGGATGGTTATGGGTTACGTAACAAGGCTTGGAGATTAGATATCAAATATTGTTTGTGTCAGCTGAATGCTGGACTGATGAGCCAAAGAGGACACATCGACCCACTGTTGTCCTTGCCTCATCCTTCCCCTCCTCATTTAGCTCTGTTAGCCCACGAGCAAAGTCAGCATTTAATAAGACAATGGGGGGAAACTTAGCTTCAGTATACCCCAACGGTTCTTAACTTTGCTTTACCTGAGCAACAGTTATTTAATAGACTATGCAACAGGAAATGTTTATGATTAAAAACATTTATTTAAAAACACTGTACAAGAGTTAACTTCACAGAACTGCTGAAATCATGTGCGGCTTCTCTCTGCATCTGTTTTAAATGACCATGCAAGATGTTCAGAAGAAGGTGCAATTTTTGGACATTTTGGTAGTTTTGTCTGTTGTGATGAGCAATGACAAGTCTTTAATGGTAGGTGACCTTACACTTCAAAAACAGACATGTGAAGATAATAAACATCCCTGTAGCTGCGGTCGTCTCTCCTTGACAAAGAAGTCCGCTGGCCAACCTTCAAAAGGCAGGAAAAGCCCTTTGACATTAATCAGTTTTCTGTCTCACAGGTTGTGTGCGAGTTCTCCACTCTACTTACGCCTCACCAACATCGGCGCAAGTGGGATCTGATCCAGACGCAGCACTTACAGTAATTGAGTAATGCCCCCCCTTCAGAAAAGCCTCATTAAATTCTCAATACCACCACGTGCTCCCGGACAGTGCTGCTCAAAGACCCAAGTCAGCAAGACATACAGGAAACTGCTGAGGGTTCTGTGCACGAGGGGGATTAGGGGGTTGATAATGAGAATGGACACTTCAAATTCATGGGAAGCAGCATCCATTAAGTAATGTCTACTACCACAAAAAATAAAAGTAAAAATAAAAATCTTCACCTCTAAAAAGGAGCAAAACTTTGCACCAATTTTTAAATATTTATTCTTATTTTGAAGAGCTTAAGTGCTGCCCATTGTTTCCTGCGGTTGGATATGCAGCTGCAAAGTCAAAGTCTTACTAGTGGTTCTTCCAGTTCTTTAAAACAATCGAGAAAAGAAACATCAGTGCTGAACCTCGACAATCTGTACCACAGTCCTGGAAAAAGCAGAGGGGTCCATTTCTTCCCCACACAGTGATGTCGGCGGGGTTGACGGCTGAAGTACAGTGTGTAGACGTGACTCATAGCTGGTGTCGTGCGTCCAGGTGCACGGCCTGTGGAGGAGTTCCTTGTCGAGCTCGCAGTTCTGCTCAGTGGGCAACAGCGTATTCGTCGAGGTCGGTCCCAGCCGTGACAGCAGGTCACATTCCCAGTCAGAGTCTGATGATGATGGCGTGGCTAAGTCTGGGATGAGGGCTGATTCGATGCACACCGAAGTGGAGTGGGATAATGAGCGTTGAGAGTCTTGGCTGGAAAATGCGCTGAGAGTTTTATCATTCGGGGACTGAAGTGGAGGATCAAAAGTCTTTGCTTTTGAGAGTGGCCGTGATGGCTGATCTGCAACAGAAGTGCTACCGTGACCTAAAATGTCCATTTGATTTGATGTCTGTGTGAAGTTATGTACAGTAGGAACGCAAAACATGGTAAACGTCTGTTTTAAATCACTCGTTTCCACAGTGCATGTTGAAGAGACCTTTGTATTAGGACAGGACTGTATTATCTGACAAGGTTTCCTGTCAGATAATACAGTCCTGGTAAATAAACAGCCCTCTGGTTTTGTCAGAGTGGCACTTTCTGGTTTTGCAGATTGATCCCCGTGTTCAGTCCAGCTACCCCTGTGGTCAAATTTCGCTGTAACCCTCCTCCTTTTGCTCCGGCTGTGTTGGGGGCTGGCTGACCTACAGCGCTTTTTGGGGTTTGGTGTCGTTGCTGACTGTCGAGGGAGGGAACGAGCTCTACGTGAAAACAGTGTAGCGCACGCCAAACCACTGGTGGAACATATGACGCCACTAAATCCTAAAAGATTGTCTTGGTTTGATCCCTTTACTCCTTCTGTATTTGTTAAAGCCATAGAGGGACAACGTGGGAATGTGACCGCTGGGAGAAACTGAGACACACTTTCTGCAGTGTCCATTTCATAAGTGTGTCCTCCCACAGCCTCCTCTGCAGTGGTCAGTTGAGGACTGAGAACAGGAGGGTCTGAGTATGGGCAGTGTGGCTCCATAATGCAGGAGGGATAAGGAACTTGTGGGCTGAGGACAGGAGGCAGGGAGTAAGGGTCAGGGGATGGACATGGCGTGTCAGGGCAGGGGAAGAAATGGTGAGTATTAGGCTGCTGGCTAGCTGAGTCGTGGGCTCGGGGTTCAACGTTCAATACAGGCATGACTGGGCTTGAAGCGCGAGGGTGGCTGTCGAGGATCTGGCAGTCTGTGTTTGTGGTGAAAGGCTGGATGTCAGCAGGTGGAGTGGCTGGATTTGGGAAGGGAAACTGAACTCCTGGTGATGGGTTAGCTGGGTCACAGGAAACAGGACCCACAGTAGGGCTGGAGATGTGAGCATTGAATGATGAACCGTGTCTCTGCAGAGCTTGAACAGCATGCTCCGCCTCAACATCGGTGAGAGGCTCCAGTTCACAGACATCTTGGATGAGCAAGGGAGTTGGTGGTCTAGGAGGAGGACACAGAAAATACAAAAGTTCTCCACTTAAAAACACAGAAAACCCATTGTGGTCAAGTTAAAAAGCAAATTACAGGAATTTCACAACATCAGGACATTGCTAGGTATTAATAAAAACACACCGGGTCAGCGTTTCTTCTGATTGTTGAGGTGGATCGGGGTCGAATCCCGGAAGCATTTCAGCCACGAGTTGGTCCATCGCTCGATAGTTCGAGAGATCCAGCACAAACGCACGGTGCTGATCAGACTGCAAGTGCTGCAAAGGTCAGGAAAGACCACACGCCACATATGTAAATATAAGACCAACAATGAAGGCAAATAAATTAATTAAGTAATTCTTAAAGATACTCACCTCCTCCAGATTAGTGAAGGGTTGATGGCAGCATTCACAGTAAGACAGGTCCTTTTTCCGCGGCCGCCAAGGTGAAGGGTTACAGCTGAGTGGCGTTGGAGGTTTGTCCTGAATGCTGCTTTCAACTTTTTTCTTCTCCCTAATTAGGAATGAATCACAATTATGATAAACAATCAAGCAAACTTTCTAAATAGTTTATTTCCTGTTGCATGATTCTTACGTCAGTGCAAGACAGGAAATAAACTTTAACCCAAACAATGGTCTACTGCATATCCTTCAAATAGTTCAACAAACCTTCTTTTACTTTCTTCTTGCTCTGTCCACTTTTCCAACTGAGGAGGAGGAGATTCAAAGGGACTAAATCGGCCCTTGTACCACAGAGTGGGGAAGGCCATAGAGTGCATGTACAAGGGCTTGTATTTCCTGGTTAGATAACAAAACAACATACATTAATACACATGTAATTAAATAAAAAAATAAAACAAAATAAAGGAGTAACATTGAACATCTAAATGCATATAAAAGAATATTACATAAAGTAAATATCACATTTCCAAATAGAAAATATTTTCAATCCATGTTGCTAAACTGAATGTGAGATAACACATCTGAGATCAACTCCTGCTAGGCTAATATTTAAATGTTTCAGGTGTCATGGGTTCAATTTCTCTTAGCCATGGCCAATGCACTAGCCAGAGCACTTCAATTAACTGAAATGAGAGGGCAAATGAAAAGACCTGTTAGCACATAGAGATCCTCTGCAGGAACACGCAGTGGAGCTTGCAAAGCCTCATCGAATAGAAATCGTATCCGTTTGAGCTCTGGGCTCCTGGGGAGCCGCATCACTGGGGGGGCTTGTCACATTACACGATGGGACTCCTTAACAGGTTCAATTAAGAAAATCATCTGGGCTGAAATGCAAACCTCCAAAGCTAGCGCCCAGTGGGGTAGGAAGGGCAGAAACACAGGGACGAGTCACTGCCATCCATTGTTGTTTCACTGTCATTATGCTTGTACTGCAAAAAAGGATCTAATCTGATACTAAACAACCATTACATGAACCTGGGCAGGCCTAAAAAATTTATTTCCCCTTGCTTTGCTAAATTCTAGCCTGTCTTTCTTGATTAACTGGAATCAACAACAGAGGAATAAAGAACCAGTGTGTAGGATTTAGTGGCATCTACAGGTGAAGTTGCAGATTGCAACAATTTGAATGCAGCTCAGCCAGCGTATAGGAGAAACTATGGCGGCCACAAAACTCCCGAAACATGAAAAGCCCCATCTACAGCCAGTGTTCTGAGCTACTGTAGAAACGTGGCAGTTCAACATACCGGCCTCCATGGAAGAGGACCCGTTCCCTATGTAGATGAGAGTGTCTTATTGTCTCCAAGGCTCGAGGTGGTTAAAAAAATGATTGCGTGTTCAAGAAAGAAGCAGTCAAACCCACCCTGCTAGAGCGAAAACAGTGCAACGTGCAGTGAATGAGGGATGAAACTCACCTGCACAAGTCTTCAATTTTAAGATAGGGAGCCCTCAAAGCTGCAGCTGTAGATCAGGAGAAGTGAAGAGTAACAAAAAAAACAACTAAATTAGCCCACATTCAAACTGTATTTTTGGTAAATAAACATTAGCAGCACATATATATATATATATATATATATATATATATACATATACACACACATAAACTCACCTTTAACAACATGACAACCTTGTTTGGTGTAAGTCCTCTGCATTAAAAAAAAAGTTTAAAATAAGATTCATTAATATTAAAGCAAATGTACATTACATTACAGCAGTCTCAATGGTTCTTATATTTGTTCTTCATAAACCTTAGCTTCTTTAATTGACCTCCTATGTTACCATTCCTCTAAAAATGTCTTTTCAGAACAGTTTTTTACTAGTTCATTCATAAATGATTCTTTTATGTAAAGCTTCTACAGTTGGATATCTTGAGAAGTGTAAAGACAGCTTACCTCGGGCCTCTTGTGTGTCACACTGAAGCTCTCTCGGGTCAACTGTTTCAAATATAAAAGGACATCTGATACTACATTAAGGAACAATACAAGACTTTCACACTGTTCTGTGATATTTCTTTACTGGTTAACAGCAAATTCTAATTCAGCATGTATCTATAGGAAACAGCTGCACAGAACAAAACATAGGAGCTCGCGTGGCGCCATCTGCTGTAAGCAAAGGTTCACTGTACTATAGATGTAAACACACCAGCATTGTGGAATTCCTTCTAATTTTCACTCTAGTTAGTCAAAAGGATACCATCCACGTACAAAATCTTCACTCCCCATGATCGGGCATTAGCCAAAACACTGCTTCTCCGCAGTCCTTCCTACAAGACAGCATGAAGTCAACATAAGAAACCAAGCAAGTCAGTATATCTCCAATACGCAGAGTCCACAGATAAGTAAGATAGACCATATTTTGTAGGTGAAGACTTACATTATTGCGAATGGCTTTTTCAAGCAGGGCCTTCCCACGGCTGCCACAAGCCTGCAGGGAAAAATAGCACAGATATAAGTTTTTCATTCTAGCTTATACTTTATACAGTAACAGCCAGAGGGATATTGTCCAAAGTTAGTGATGAAAATAAGATTCAATACAAAGTCAGAATATGTTTTTGAATGGTTATATGTAGCATTTCTCATATAAACATATGAGAATTTACACTATTCACAATAACATTAATTTGTATCGAGGCATATTTCTTTAATACCAACACACTTGTACACTGTAAAAGGTTTTAGAACAGCATGAGTGATGCTCAGTACCACTGGTCGAGGAGTTCCTGGTCGTCGTTTGTCATTGCTGAGGATAATCTCTCTTGTCATTATAGGACGTTGGGCTTCTTCACTTGTCCCTTTTGTTGCTGCTTTGCCATCTGTACACTTCTGGTCCTTCAGGCACTCTTGGCTTCCAGTCACAACAAAGCTCACATCCTTGTGCAGGAAACTCTCGATCCTCTTCAGAAAGGAAAGACAAAAAAGACATTAGGTGCTTATTAGTTTCTGCTTAGAGACATCCATCATAGTCAGACATTTACATGTCCTTGGACAAACTAACTTGAACTTGAGTAGGTGCATAATTCACCAAGATGACAGTCTTAGTGTTGTTTATGTTGTCAATTTGGCTACTCCTTCAATGCATTGTTCACTGAAATGATCAGAAATCGATAGTAAATCATTAATAGTACAAACATTTTCTTTGTTGTAGAATATTATTTACTTATTTCCAATCAGTACTTTACTCCATATTCCTTATATAGACAGAGCAATTTAGTGTCTTATTCTAGTTCACAATCAATCAGTACTATAAAGAGACACAGAATTGTCATATTTTATGTTCAAATGTTATTTCTATCTATCTATCTATCATTAGTAGTGGTTTTAACTACTAGATCTTCTTCAAAACACAGCCAAAACACCACATTTCTGCTGATGAAGCAAAAAGGTTTTGAAGGAAGCAAAGCAGACAACTGGATGGTGTAGCCAAATTCTCGCATGATATTATATACCTAAAATGTCAGTGCCTGGATCAAAACCTGATTACAATCATATTATAAAAACAATAACCAATCTTCACACAGGCTTACCCCTCCTAGAAGAGATATGGTCTCCAAAAGCAGGGTGGTTGAGCGTTTCTTCACACTGTCCAGGTAGAAGGTCTTCCCCTCCAGCTTCTTCTGCCCAGGACACAGTGAGCCCAGAAGGCCTCTCTCCTCTGCATACTGCTGGTGCTGCATGATCCTGGTGCAGTAAAGAAGCTTCACTTCACAGAAAAACACCAGGATCCTACTTTAAAACCAAAGACAACAAAAACACCGGTGTTAAGTAAATATAGGCACTTGTGTTGACTGAATACAAATATAATTAAAAACATTTGACAGAGAGCAAATTTAAAAAACAAAACCCAAAACATAAAAAGTAACAATGTGGTTTTCTTCTCTATGGTCTTAAGTAAACTACCAAACTACAACAGAGCAGCGCACGCACCTACTGCTACAACGGTTAGCAACGAGCTAAAGTGTGATTAGGTAGCTCTCCTGTAAAATAAGCAACGTCTGAACAACAAAAGGAGTTTTTAATGTGGATGAATCGTCTCTTCGACCGTTTCCCGCGGCATCGGGGACGAAATACAGACAAACTTACGTGTTGTAACTGCGCTGGATAACTGCGATAAATGAATTGTTGCTATGGATTCAACCAAAAGGTGGCCGAGGAGCAACCGCCGCTTTTTTAAAAAAAACACTGGCAGAGACGTGAACGTGCAGTCGACGTCACGTCCGGTAAAACGCTGCGTTCACGTGTAGACCACATCTGATGGTTTTTTTCTTGTCAGCGATTTAAATAGTATTGTTTTGTACTTTAGTACTGAAGTGAAACACAGTTATAATTCAGTTTTATTATCAGGCAGCTCCGTACAAATAATCCTCTAGTATCAACGTACTTCTTTCTCTAAATCGATAACACATATTTATACATTTACGCAAGGCTCCGACAGTATCCTAAACGCAACACGAAGGATGTACTTTATTACTTTTATCCTATTTTCTGGAAATAATTTCCATAATAATACAAATAGCCCAGTTGGCGACAAGCGTGTAACTGTATACATATGTACATGTATGCTTTTTGTAGTTTGGACAGCGAAAAGAGCGCAAACACAAAATGAGAAGAAGTAACATCAGCTAAAACAGTAAATTTGTGAATTAAAGAGGTGGAAGTAGTGCAATATACCAGGTAGAAAGTAAACATGACTCACCTCTAATCAATAGTGTCTGTTTGTGTGTGCAGGAGCACATCTCTGGAGTACCAGCTGAGCGTATCAGTATTATTTATTATCAGTTCATTAATTATCAGACTTGTACATTTAAACCATTGCTCACCATCAGTTTATGTTGACTACCCAGCAGTTTCATCCAGCTGCTCATGTGCTCAAGTTTCGACATAAAAATGAAACCTAATTGAAGGGGGAAATTGTTCATATTTTATCCTTTCCTGCCCAGCAGGGGGCATCGTTCCTTTTAATGCAGTAATCTCAGTGAGCAAAAAAGAACAAACTGTAACCCATATGTTTTACATGTATATATATATATATATATATATATATATATATATATATATAAAAAAAATATATATATATATAAAATATATATATACTGTGTATACACTGTGTTTTATACTGTCATGACACCAAAACTGTTAAATGTAAGACAAAGACCAGTAGACAAATAAAGCTTTCCAATTAGTAACAATTCTTTATTCAAAACATGCACTTTTTGGTTAGAAAAATATTTTTCACAAAAACACTGGCACACCGCAAAGGGCTAACCTTAATGACATTTCGTTTTGAAAATAAAAGTATGTATTAATGACATTGAACTCTTCATACCAGGCCTGGAAATGTAAATCTAGATTATGTAAAACTGGTTGAGAAAACCTCCATAGCATGAACTTCAAACAAACAAAACAAGTGTCAACAATTGTAACAGCTTGACAATAAGAGGCTAACAATTTCGCCAAATACTTCCACTGACCAATATATTTCCAAATCTGTAGACACCTGTCTCTCTCTCCAAAAGAAATGACACAGAAACACTGTAACCTTACCTACTGAAAACATATTCTATTTCTTTCTTTATGGCTGGTAAACAAACCTGGTTTGATGAAAATATCAATGAAATTTAGCATATTCAGAAACAATATTCAAAGGTTAACCACTGGATGGTAATGAAACTAGTCACATAGACAGTAGGATGTCTTTTTTTTCAGCCCATAGTGATGAGGAGAGTTTGTAGAAAACAATGACTTAATCAACAGCTGTACTTAAAATGATGCAGAATCAATGAGAAGCGAGACTTTGACTTTTATAAGTAAGGCACCTTAGGTAATAGCGTGGAAGCGTCTGCATATTCTCAGGGAAACAAAGACAGCACCAGCATCTTCTTGCAAAATCGATTAAACAAAATATACAAAGTTATTATGATACTTTTACTCCACTGTCATATAATGTTGAACACAGCGACAACAAACAGTTTTCCAGGTTTGTCACACACTTAAAGGGTTACATCTTTTCTCATCCCCTTTACATTATCTTCAGTGTCATTTACATATTACTAGCAGAATCTATCTTGTACTGATGAGGTTTAAGGCTACTTAAACTTGAATACTTACGGTGTATATACTATGTTAAAACCTTAGTCTCAGTCACAAGCTGACGCTCAACATAAATAAATATTTTTTCCATTTTCCCCAATGCTTTTAGACCAAATTTGTATTGTAATACAGGATAAACATATTATTTATTATATTTATTGATAAAAAACCAAACATTTGTGCATACTTGTGTAAACTGTAATCAGAATAGGGCTGCAACTATTGAATTTATCGATTCATTGTTTAGTTTATGTAAGAAAAATGCCCATAAATCCCAATGTCCCATTAGTGATGAATGTTGAAATGTGGAATGAAATGACTTAAACAATTAACTAATCAGTGAGTTGTTTAAGCCCTAAATCAATATGTTGCATTAGAATCACTGTAATACTGTATATCTGTAATATATCTGCATTAACATGTACCATTCATTATCTCTGGGACTGTTTAGGTTTTTAATTTTGTGGGTAATTTCCATTCATTGCTAGATCCTCAGAGGAGAGAGCTATCAGTGGACTGGTACAAGGTAGATCCTGACACTAACAATCACTTACAACTATTTAAATCATATGAATACTAGACCACTACTAGAATGTAAACTGGGTGCCGTATCCACAGTATGAACACACATAAACGTAAATACTGTGTGTCTGAGAAGGATCTACGTTGTTTAAAAAAAAAAAAAAACACAAGTCACAGTTTATTTCAGATCCACTCTGAACCTTTTATGACTCCATATTTGCTGCTACTGCTGGTGCTCCTGCTGCCTCTGTCTGTGTCTGCCTTGCTGGAGGTGTGTTTGGAGGCCTGCCGGTGTTTACGTTCACGGTGAGGCTTGCTGTGGTTATTACTGTGGCTCTGTGGCTGGCTGTAGGCTTGACTGTCAGGCTCCAGCCTGTTCTGAGCCTGACAAGTGTCCTTATGAACACATCTGGGGGCATCTCCCATCCCTGCTCTGCACAGGTTTTCATCATTACTGGTGTACTGCTGCCGCTCCTCTTGGGCAATGTTCACGTGGTTCTGCTGGCACGCCATCTTGGCATTAGTGAGATCAGTGATGGGTAGTGGTTGCTCGTGGTGCCCTGTAGATACCAGAGGAGGCTTGATGGCGATGTTGTACCCAGGTGGAGCTGACGGTGCATTCCAAGAAAAAGGGTAGCTGCTGTAATCCTCTCCGCTCAACCCTGCCTCATTAAGAGCGCCTTGTCCTCGCGTCAACCCGTACAGCTCATCGTCGGGGAGCTGCACGTGGCGGGAGCGTACGATGTCACAGATGGTTCCTATGCCCAGGTGAAGCATTTCCCATATATTTAGTGCCAGACAGAGCAGAGAGACTGTGTACATGATGAGGAGGAAGATACTTTTCTCAGTGGGACGTGACACAAAGCAGTCCACACTGTGAGGACAGGGCAGGGTTGAGCAGGAGTAGCTGGCGGGCACAGCAAATCCATACAGGGCATACTGTCCACACAAGAAAGCCACCTCCAGCAAGGAGCGGGCCAAGAGCTGTAGGACATATATCCGCATCAGTCCATCCTCTTTGATACGTTGGCGCCCATCATGGCGCACCTTGACCTTCGTTCGTCCATCACCCCTGTTTCCTTTTGCTGTTCCACCATCATCACTCTCCTCCGCCACTTCATAGATCATTGGGTCTTCTTCTTGGTCGTCCTCGGCCTCTTCAATGCCCCTGTGCTGCTTTCTGCCAGCAAGATAGTGCTTCTTGGGTTTCTTCTGTGAAAAGCCCCTCCCCCCGCCACTGTCTGCCTGCTCCTCTGCATGAGCAATTTTGTTGACAGCGTAGCCCAGGTACATGAGTGAAGGAGTGGCGACCAGAATGATTTGGAAAACCCAAAAGCGGACGTGGGAGAGTGGAGCGAAGGCGTCATAGCAGACATTCTCGCAGCCTGGCTGGCCTGTGTTGCAGACAAACTTGCTCTGCTCATCGTAGTAGATGGACTCACCTCCTACGGCCGTCAGCACTATGCGGAAAACAATGAGAACAGTGAGCCAGATCTTGCCCACAAATGTGGAATGGTTGTGGATTTCTTCCAGCAGCCGAGTCAGGAAACTCCAACTCATGGTAGTGGCAGGGAAACTACAGTGAGAGGCAACATACACCTCCTGTTACTCCCCTGTGGAGAGAGCAGAAATGGTTAACCTCTCTGCCATGCATGCAACACTTCAAGGAACATATCTACATTTGTAATAATAATTGCTTATATTATAGTATAGACCTCCTTATGGTTAAATATTTATGCCATTTAAAGACAAGCAAAATATCTGCCAAGAACATCTTAACAGTATTAGATATGTGGAGAGAAAAACGAAAAAAAAAGAATATTTATTAACCTGTCTTTCTGTGTGTGTCTCTGAATTTGTCTCTCTTTCCCACACTCAGAAGAAATATGCACGTTTTAATTCTACAAATAAAGACATCATACACTCTTCTGCTGTATTCACAAAGTATTTCAGCTCCAAGCACTTTGTCTTTAGCGAAAGTATACACGGTTATCAAATAGTGCATTTCTCCACAATAACAACACGTTTATCCTTGATTCTTTTAATAGCTGTGCCCTAAAGCTCATGTCTAAACATACCCTTGGCATTGGTACACACAGGGAAGAGTAACGACAACAATGGAATGTCTAACCATAATTGCTATTGTTAACTGAATGACCCTGCATTTGAATTAACTTTAAATGTGGCTACCACTCTCTACCCCTCCTGAATGTGTCAGGAACTCACAGGAAAAAATAGAGTAAAGCCATTTGCTGATTATATATAATGACACATTAATGCATTAATATAAGACAATGTTAGTATTTTCATAATATGACATTAACAGCTTCTTAACATTACACTCCTGTGATAGGATATAAGTACTACACTGACAGTGTGTAAGCTTTCATTGGTACTAATTTAAGGGATTTGTGGAGATTAAGCTGTTTTAGTTTTAAATGTGTCTTTACTTACATATTGGTCTTCACATAAAATGCAGACAAAGAACATTAACACAACAATATGGGCTACCAATAGCTTTAAATATGGCTCAGCTCCAGCCTAACACACACTCTTTGTGCTGTAATTAGGCTGGGGTACAGGGATGCTCAGAGGCAGCAGAACACTAAATGGCTCGCAAAGAATGAAATGACTGCATAATTGAAATTAGAGTAGAGAGTATATTTTCCTCTCAGTCCAATTTAGATGATAAAATCCTTTTTTTCCTCGAGTTAACTAGACTATCTCATACTGTATCTAACCCTGAAAGAACTCTGTTTAACCTGCAGACATCCATCTGCCCAAACCTTACGCTGCAGACATCCCAACGAGTGTGATATGTGTGTGTGTCTACGTTTGATGATCGACATTTTCTTTGGATAGTTTTTAAGATGAAGTGCTTTTTATTATAAGCAACCATGCAGAACATGGTTGCTTATAATAAAAAGCACTGGATATCCATCTACCAGTAGGGGACAGAGACTGAGCCAAACGAGGTCAGGTGTTAAAGGAACAACCTTGAGGTTGTTCTGAGACTGTATGAAGTCAGTTATGTTGTTATACTGTTTTTAGCTAAATATGTGTGTTTATTAAGTCTAAAATCAAAAGCTATTCTTTCAATCAGCTTGCAGTTTTTATTTTAGTGTGATACACAATTTGGCAAATTTTTATTATTCTGGTTATTTCCATAGGTCTGAACACATGAAAACGTAACACGGGCTTTACTGTTCTGACTGAAATGATTAAT